TATTTGGCACATAAACGACGTTCAAATTTAAAAAAATTTTTTCTTTGAATTTTAATTTGTTTTTTTAATTGTTTAAAATTAAATGATTTTTTACGTTTTAAAAATGAATATCGTCTTCGATAATAATATTTATCTTTTAATAATCGAGCTTCAATTTGCATTTGAATATTTTCATAAATTAAATTTTTTGCTTCATTTTCAAGTCTTTTACTTTCTTCTTGTAAATTAATTGTTGTTAATAATAATTCATTTAATTCATTATCTTTATTATTAGAAATAAAAAACGATCAATCAAATATTATTTATTTATTTAACTTACGAATTTGTTGAATTAATTCGTTATTTTCTTCATCAACTGTATTATCAACATTTCTATCATCAATCTAAATAAAACAAATAAAAACACACACAAATATTCTATTAACTCATTTACTGTTCGTTCTCGACACATGATGTTTATATGAGTATTTTTATAAAATACACTTTATATATATATACGATTTGTTAACTTTCTACAGTGACACCTTTGATTTGGTTGAGGGGTTGACATAACTATCTATGCTTGAATGATCACATAAAAAACAAAAACAAAAAAATATCGGACTATTTTCAATGACGGAATTATTAAAGGTGATCTATTTTATTGAATAATCTTTTTTATGACAAAATTTTCGATAAAGACAAAAACAAATAAAAACTATTAAATTATTAATCAACAATAAGAAAAGAATCTTCTTTATTTTAATTCGATAGAATTCAATAAAATACGAACACATTATATATTTTTTCGTTTAACTCTATTTCGAAAAAAAAATCTATGTACTTTATTATGTTTTCAGCTTATTTTCATAGTTGATTCCCAGGATATATTACAATTCTCACTAAACAAATTTATTCAAATTCTCATAGACACTCACTAACGACAAGACTAACCCTATATGACACTGTACCCATCATATTATTATACAGGTGATCGAAAATAACTGTTTGTGATTGGTTCAAGGTCGTTCCATAGGTTGTGATATTGACGTTTGAGGAAACTGGTTTATGGGTGGAGACGTCTCGAACAACCTATTCACTCAATTATACCGATTGATAGAATTATCAATTACTTTTAAATATATTATTCAATTTACATTTTAAAAAATCATTGTTTAATTCATTTATAAATTGATCAATAAATTTCGTATATCGTCTAATAACTTATCTTTAACAAAAAACTCAACTAAAATATAGAAGAAAAAAACTTTGTTTTATGTTAACATAAATATTGAATTGAATTAAAAACAAAAAAAATGTTTGCCTTTAGTTAATGAAGATTTATTTGTTATAAATATATTTTTGGGAAAAGTCTTTCTCCCTTCCCTCATAGCTCGTTTTTCTTTGGAACGGGGGAAAAGACTTTTCTCCACAGATCTATATTATTATCCATAGAAATTTCTTATCGAACTTTCTAACATAGAAGAAAACAAAATAGAATAAAGATTTTATTTCATCGTGTAAATATAAATAAAATAATTGATATAGAACTATTGAAATAAAATAATAATCATTCAATTTTATTGAATAAATATATTGAAAATAATAAATAAATTATATAAACATATTAATCAAATAATTAATTAAAAGTAAGTTCAAGGTTAAATCTGTTGAGATTAGATAATCATTGAGAATAAAGGTGATGGATATATTAGTCAACTATTGACAACTTCTTATCAATTCTACCGGTATATATTTTAGTATGCATGTTTTATGCATTGTTGTCATCGTGCTTAATCGTTAAGTAAATAATAAAAAAAAAACGAACGAAAAAGAATTAAGACGATTGATGAAAATGAATATGATATTCTATTAGGTACTTTACTATTTTCATTTGAAATTTACAGATGTCATTTAATAAAAGAATAAATTATATAGGAAATAATTCGTTTTCTTTTTTCAAATATCATTTTAGTTATTCAACTAAAAAAGAATAATCTTATCATATGAAATAATTCTCACTATTTTAACTATTTAATATATCAGATATAGAAGGATTGTTCTACAAAGAATAATCATTCTTCTTTTTAGTTTATCGTTTTTCTCAATTTCAAATATGAATTTAAAGTAAGATAATCAATTGTTATATAATGTGGATTTTAAAATAATCTTTATCTTAGGTTAATAAAATGTCTTTTACTTATGAATACTAATCAATCAAGATAAAAATAACTTTTATAAAGGTTACAGATTAATAGATCATACCTATGTTTTTTCTTCCTTTTTTTACTCAACGGAAATATATATATATCCATTTTAAAATCTTAATCCACTCAGTAAAAGAAAAAAAATTTCAAAAATTGTTTTAGTAGAAAACGTCGTCAATTTGTAATAAATGACATTAACTAATATACGTGAAGATTCGTCGAAGTTAACTAATGGTTTTTCTATGATTGATAATTTGAATAATAAAGATGAAGATCGAAAATTAAAACGAATGAATCTATCAATATTTAATTTATTTTCATCGAATCGACAAACAAATATTTTAAAAAGAAAAAATAAAAATATGAAAATTGAAAAAGATAAATCATTTTTATATTCTCAATCAATATTAACAAAATCCGAATTATCAAAATCTATATCAAATAGATCAATAACATTTGCATCAGTTTTTGATCAATTAGAATATGATTATATTAATAAAGATAATCATTCAGTAAGAATTTTTTAATTATTTTATTCTTTTTTTATTTTTATTTTTATTAGAGTTTTGATGTTAGAACATCTATAAATAATGAAGATCTTGTTATTGTTCTTCCAAATAAATATGTTAATAATGAAGAAAATAATAATAGAGAAGCATATCCATTTCGATCAGAAATTCCATCAAATTCACTTAGAATATTTAATAAATCATCAAATACGATAAATAAATCTGATTCAAGAAAGAAATTTCTTCATCGTTTAATACATCATCATCAACCAAAAAAAGTTCATCGTCCTGTTCAAACTATTCAATTAATTAATAGAAATTATCGATCAATATCAGCACCTAATTTATTATTTTCATTATCATCAAATCCAACAACAACAACAACAACAACAACAAATGATCATTATCAATCATTAAAAAGATTTCGTCAATGGATTAAATCATCATCATTTGGACAATTTGTTCAATCATTTATTAAAAATCGAAATCCATCAATTAAAAAAGATTTTAAACAAAAATCTTCTCTTAAATCAAGAATATGAAAAAAATCTTCTGATCTTATTTATTAAAATAATAAACTTATTTTAATTCGAAATAATTATTTTATATATTTAACTTAATATATTTATTATTCATTACTTATTTTAATTATTATCCATTTATAAATAAAAAATATATTTTATTCGAGATTTTTTTCTTTAGAATTTAATAGAGATTCTCTAATACTCATAGACTATTATATTGAATATTTTATATGAATAAAAATGACGAAAAATCATCTACTGATTGTCAAATAAATCCGTTGAATACAGGGAAAGATGAATTTCTATAGATGTTAGTAAGGATATTTCAATCTGTTAAAGAGGTAAAAACAAATCATATTGATCGATCACTACATCTCAATTTAAGATATTCAATGAAATAACACAAAATACAAGATAAGGTACCGAGAAACGAAGCTCATTATGTTAAATTTTACAAGAATTTTCAATAGAATAAATTAATTTCTTGAGAGAGAATTATCTTCATCTTAATTATTCAAATATTTGTCAAATTTATGATTCTAATATGTCAATGACAAGTTCTATTCAACAAAATCTATATACACATATAAATCCTACAGACTAAAATAATAATCTTACAAAGAACAATTATCTCTTTTATTATATCGAAATATTCTAAAAACATCCCTTCATTTTTATACAACAACTATTCATATATACCTGACTCCTTGTGGCTAACAGGCTACTTTGTTTGACACCTATCTACAAGATACATCGTATAACTCTCAATACTATAAGGCATGAAATAGACCTGGACAAGTCACTAACGGCCATTTCTCCCGACATAATCCTTGGGGAGTAAAAAAAAAGAAAATTTGTGATGGAACTCTTATCAGGAGTGCTAAGAACTCAAGAAAAAAATGACAAAAAAAAATTCTGGAGAATAGTTTTTTGGGAGTCCCTGATGAATCTCTAGGGATTTCCCGAAGATTTGTCTAGGAAAAATAGACTGGAGATAGGTAGTATATGGTTAGTTAGTGCCTATTGAGGATTAACCGATTTATATTGATTGTGAAAGATATTCCAATTAGATATTACGGAAACTTTTTCATATCAATGAAGTTAATTAAAGATTTTCTTATCTTTTTTGTTTTAAAAAAGTATATATTAGAATAAAATACTAAGAATTTTAATGTCGCTTTGTGAACAAAAAAATAATAGGTTTCAATGTGTCTATTCATCATTTATTTTTATTATTAAAATATCCTCTAAAACGAACATGTGAAATAGCATTTACTGGAAGATTTTTGTCGGCAGATGACGCTCAAGTTGAATATCAGAGGCTGTAGTCATAGATTCTCATAAAACTAAAAGCGATGAAAAGTTTTATTAGTTTTTTTTTATGGAAATCGATCTTTCAAGATAAATTTAAAAATTATAGAAATTTATTCACTGTAAACAAATTTATTGACATTTTTTTTCTTTTTGCAAATAGAATAATTGGATGTTTGGTTGACATACAGGTTTATATGGTGAGAAGAAAAATGTGCATCGAAGTGGAAATTGTAAGACATAAAACACTGTAGAAGAGAGACACAAATATGGTAAGTAAACAAAAGTGTGAAAATAGTGATGAAGAGAGAGTTACGAATAAAAATTAAAATATTTAAAATATTTACTTTTGTTTTTATTCAACGAGTTGTGAGTGAATTAAGTTTTGTTTTGTTTTTTTATATGATTGAATATCGATTATGTTTTTAATTATTTCTCTTTATATTTAAGATAAATATTTGTTTGTAAACATGTCGATAGACGAAGATGAAATATTAACCATGGATTCACGTGTAATTCTTTCTGATAAAAATCAAATGCCACGATTGGGTAAAATTTAAAATAAAATAAAAATATTAAATATTTTTTAATAAAGGTCTTGGTACATGGCGAAGTGAACCAGGAAAAGTCGAAAATATTGTTTTTGAAGCTATATTAAATTGTGGTTATCGTCATATTGATTGTGCATGGTTATATAAAAATGAAAATGAAGTTGGAAATGGTATACGTAAAGCTTTAGAACAAAGTCAAGGAAAAATCAAACGTGAAGATTTATTCATTACAACTAAATTATGGAATCAAGTAATTATAAGAAATTTTTTATTTCTAATTGAATAAATATTTTTTTTCTTTTAAGCATCATCAACCTGAAGATGTTGAATGGGCTATTCGTGATAGTTTAAAAAACTTTCAATTAGATTATATTGATCTTTATCTAATACATTGGCCTGTTGCATTTAAAAATATCAAGGAAAATCAATGGTCACAAAATCAAGATAAAACAATTCGTTATTATGCTGAAGGCGTAACTATAACTGATACATGGAAAGCAATGGAAAATTTAGTTGATTTTAAATTAGTACGTTCAATAGGTTTATCAAATTTTAAACAATCAGAAATAGATGAAATTATTAATATAGCTCGGATTAAACCAGTTGTTAATCAAATTGAACTTCATCCATATTTAAATCAACAAGAATTACGTTTATATGCAAAAAAAGTCAATATTATTTTAACAAGTTATTGTCCATTAGCAAATTTAAAACGACCAAATGAACGTGAAGAAGAAACATCACCATTATATAATCCAATTATTGATAAAATAGCTAAATCGAAAAATCGAACATAAGCACAAATTATTATTCGATGGCATCTTCAACATGGTCTTACTCTCATTCCAAAAACGGTTACACCACAGCGTCTTTATGAAAATTGTCAAGTTTTTGATTTTTATTTATCAGATAATGAAATGAATCAAATTGATCAATTAGAAAAAACACATCATAGACGTTTTCTTAATCCACAAGTTTTACCACCTGGAAATAAATATATTTTTGATGATTAACAAATAAACAAATATTTTCTTTTATCTAGTAAAGTGGTCATCACTCAGTGTCACAGACGCATCGGGACAAACCATTCTACATTTTCAATAGATCTACGGAAATCTGATTGGAGCTTCAATATAAGCTCAACTACTGTGAATCCTATTGAAGAATCATCTTACTTAGTAGAAGTCAGATTATCATTTTCTGAATAACTTTCGATGAGTACAAGATATAGACCTACGATTTTCACTATTCAAAAGAGCGATGTTCTGATTATCGATCTCTATAGAATTCATTAGGATGAAAGATGGTTTTTTTATGGGTGTTTTTGAATCAACACTTTTTTCTTTGCATATTTTCATAATAATCTCAACTCAAATTATATCAATATGTAGCTCAAATCACCTTTCTTTTTTCCCTATAAAATTATCATATATTTCATTATTTCTCAACCTCCTGTTCCAAGTGGACTTACAAAAAACAAAATGTGATAACTGTTTAGGAAAAAAAGGTGATTTGACCTATATTTTGATATAATTTTAGTTGAGATTATTATGAAAATACGTAAAGAAAAAGCTGTTGGCCAAAAAGTACCCATAAATAAATGCGGAAACCTCGGATTTAAATCCGAGATTTATGTGTACTGAAGAAAAGTGAATCAGACAGATGAGTCATCCGACGAATGTCTGGACATCAACATTGTCCTGGCAAACCTTTTCTATAAACACTTCATTTCTATTGGCTACTGCTCAGTCAATAGGATTTGGAGGCAGATACACCTCAGATTTCAACTCTTCACCTTCATTTACCCTAAGAAACTCGTTTTTCCAATAATTTGATTTCTATTGGTCACTGCTCAACCAATGGAATTTCAAGGCGAATGAAACACAGATTCGAGTTCTCCACCTCAGAAAACCTTGAACTATCATCTCTGTGATCTGAAGAACCAGCTCTATTTATGGATCAATTAGAGCGTGGACAAACACAGAACCGATTTCCGTTTAATTATCTTTGCAATAGGTGAGTTAACTTTCTTGTTTCCTTATGTTTTATATACCATTTTGTAGCTCGTGAAATCCTCTATCAAATGGTATATAATAGTTGGGGTTTTATTTGTTTATGATAGGAAAAGTTTTTTACGAAGACAGAGAAGGGTCTATCTTATCATAGGAAGTCATAGGGAAAAATGACTATTTTTGCAATAACTCAGCAATGGCTCGGCCAATCATTCTCATTTCCTTCTCTCGACCGAGATATTGTTAAGACTAAACTGTGTAGAAAATTTCATCACGATCGGACTCTCCTTTCGACAGTTATCGTGTAAACGGCCGGACGGACACACTGACCGATTCTATAGTCTATGAACTTTTTGAGTACACAATAAAATGAATCTGAAAAAAAAATTTTTTAACGAAAAATCCTCGACGGGGACCCTTGCCCTGATTTTTTGTGAAAAAATATTTTATTTGAAAAACCAGAAGATTATAATCATTCGATGCAGTTTTGTGCGCTGATTCTAAATATCATGTTTTCAATGAATAAAAATAGTTCTAAATCGAGAAAAATATGAAATACCTCAAAAATCATGATTTTTTCGAAAACCTCCTGTGGGGTCCAGGAACATTTGTGCTAATTTGTGCTAACTGTGGTGAGAGAGGACATATGGGAGAACATTCTGGCAAAGTTTGAATAAGTTTCAAATTGGGCGCTGGAGGGCGCGCTCATTTTACTAATATAGCCGTTTGGAAAAGCACTGTGGAAAAAAGCAAAATTTTTTTCTAAATCTTCAATAGTAATTGACCATTTTTTTTATTATAAATCGGTAGCGAACATTATGCAAATTTATAATATGTATCGTTTTTGGTTGTCACTTCAGTGGATTTTGTAAAAAAAAATGTGTGTTGTATCATTCCATTTTTATCTAGGCGCTATTTTTCCGAAAGATAAAGCTCTGATACGGGAAATTTATTAAGATAGATGCAACGAATAGACTCGGACAAATTGATGTGCGACGAATTGATATAACACCAATTTGTTTTGCTTTCTTGAACTAATTATTTTATTTATTGATTTAGCATTTTCAACAATGAAATAATATAAAAAAATGTCCTTCTATGTCTTGTACACGTCGTTGTCAATTCCATGAGACATTTCGTCGTTTTAACTAGATCATGATAACAAAAAAACAAAATTATGTCGATAATATTTACAAAGAAAATGATTAAAAACTGATAATTCATTTGAATAACAAGAAAAATAATTAGCTAAATTTCATATAATTAATTGTCTACATCAATCTATATCTTATTCATGTTGTAAAAATATTTATGAAAAAGATCTACTTGAATGTAAAGAAATTTATCTTAGATCTAATCATTTATACAGTGGCGTAGCCAAGGGGGAAGGGATCGCCCCCCCCCCCCTTCGAGAAAAAATCTCCTGGAGGGGGTACAGGGAAATAAATTTCACTTCGCGAAAATTTTTTTTCCAATGGTTGGTCCCCACCTTGGACCTGGTCTCCCTCCTTAGAAAATTCCTGGCTACGCCCCTGATTTAACAATTATGTCGGATTGAAGAACAGAAAGAATAAAATTTATTTATTTATTTATTATTCAAATCTAAGACAAATTTTGCTAAATAATTTCTTCAATGTCAAGATTTATTTTTCAATAGATGAATTGGTGTGTATGTCTATTAAGTGTATAGAGAAATGAAGATTTTTATTGTTATAAAACTATAATTGTAAAATATTTTGGTAATTAAAATAAATAGTAAATTTTATTCTACAGGATCAATAAATTGAAATCAATATCTTATAAGAGTTCATCCGATTAGGAGAAGCAATGTTCAAAAGTTAGATCAATATGAATATTATATAGCAGCATGAAACATATTAGAGATATTCGTCGCTACTGTCACAATGTGATTGAAAAATCCTTCAAGTATCATACCCATGATTATCGGGTGAACCACAAGTTTTCCGACATTTTTTATTTTGCATATATCTCGGCTTGAGTAAATGACAAAATCTTCGTTTTTTTTTAAAAGATGTGTCGTGAAAAGCTCTACAAAAACTCTATAAAGAAATCCCTACTGACTTGTTCTGATAGGTTTTCTCATACTCAAAATGAACAATCAAGATGATAATGCTACTTTCCAGCATAATAATGTTGAAAGGCCTTTTTTGTTTTGCATATATTTCGGCTTGAGAAAATGGTAACATCTTGATTTTTATTGAGAGATGCGCCGTGAAAAGCTCTACACAAGCTGTATGAACAACTCTCTATTACAAAAATAAAAAAAACTCTTTCAAACATTGTTTTTCATGCTACATACGCTGGAACATAGCATTATCATGTAGGTAGTTTATATTAACTGTGGAAAAACCATCAAAATCAGTTAATAGGGATTTCTTTATACAGTTTTTGCAGACCTTTTCACGGCGCATCTTTTCAAAAAAAAATCAAGATTTTATCATTTACTCAAGCCGAGATATATGCGAAATAAAAAATGTCGCAAAACTTTTGGTCCACCCGGTATATATATATTGAATGAGAACTATTATTTATAAAAAAATCCATGAAAATCATTGCTTCTCAGAATGTTAGCTTTTTAGATGTTGAAATTCTCAAAAAATATTTTTTTTCTCAATTTTCTATCGTTGAGAATATAAAAAATCTTTTATTATAATTAATAAAGTAACAAAATTCATCTATGATATCTAAATGAAATTGTTAGAGACAATCCATTCACCTAACACACAACCAATGCTTATTTTAGAATAGTTAGAAATCAACTTATTTGATGTAAACTTTTTTCTCTATCAAAATCTCCAAAAAAAAAATCTTTGGAAATATTAATCATATTTTTCTATCGATAATCACCGAATACTACACACTGATCCAATCTTATGAAAATATTGTTTACATGAAAGATTCACCGAAATTTTTATATCTCAGACGTAAAGCGATGTGCTATATGTCGAACAATGTTTATATTATCAGAATCATGCCCTCATCCATAGGTTTGACAATGCATATATTCGAAGATCTGCGAAATTATTTGTTGATTACCATTGAAATAAACTATAGCTAATATTCTCATATCTAACACTTAACAAAAGCAAAGTATCCGAATATTTGATTAATTCCAATAAAATATAAATCACTGAAATCCACAAGATAAAATATTCTTGAGTGGATTGAAAGATAAATGGACATTTTATGATTATATCTACAGAATATCATAGATTCTTTCTTCCTCAAACTTCACTTACTAATGACAAACAATTAGTTATTATCTTGCGTCGCTACCAAGGTAAAAGTGCAGGTTTGGAACCCCTAGCACATTCACCACTTACAGCTTCTATTCTGCACTTCTTACCATGAGCATCTTCAGCACCTTCAGTGCTTTTACCGCACTTTGTGATAAAATTTGATGCTTAGGTACTGTCAATGTAATTGGAGCACCTAACCACCAAATTTTATCGGAAATTGCGGAAAAAGCGTTGAACATGCTCATGGTAAGAAGTGCCGAATAGATTCTATGGGTGGTAGGGTTTACAAAGCTACACTTCCTCCCTTGGTCGTTATTAAAAATATTCTTATATAAACAAGAAAATAAACGATAAAATAAGTCCTTTCTATTCCTATTTATTCGATAAAAATACAAATTTTTCTTGCTGTTATATTTAAATCAATGTAGCTCGTTACAATGCTTCTATTCCATTGACTTTTAAGAAAGAAAAGTTTATTAAGAGAAGTAGTTGATACTTTTACAGAAATTATTTATTTTATTTTTA